ACTTCTGAAATCCCTCCCACCTCCGATTCTATTTGGCCATGCTCCGGCCCAGATTTCTATGTGGCCATGCTCTGGCCCAGGTTTCTCAGCCCTGACACTATTGACATATTAGGCCAATTTTTCACTGGGGGCTGTCCTACGTATGGTAGGATGTTCAGCCTCATCCCTGGCCTTGCCCCACTAGATGTTACTAGCCCTCCCTAGCCCAGTGGTGACAACCAAAGATGTCTCCAGACACTGCCAAATGACTGGGGGGGCAATGCAGGCCCTCTGGTCACTGCCAAAGGATTTCAATAAGGTCAAGATCATGAGTGGTTCAGCAGCAAAATGTCCTCCTGTCGCCAAGCCCTTCACACCTCTCTGTCTACGTTTCCAATGCAGCCTCCAAGTCCTTTGCTGCTTCTCATTTCTTAAATGCCCTAAGTGGCCCAGGGTGTGTTGGGTGTGATAATGAACCAATTGATTTCATACTTTTTCCTAAGCAGAGTTCACAGGTTTATGTCCCCTAAGCAACCAGCCAGGCTCCCCAGAAATCCCTCACCGAGCCCTGGCTGGCCTGGAAGCCTGTATCTGCAGCCTGCAGGAGGCTGAGGAAGCATGGATTTGTCAGCACTCTTAAATCACTGGGCTCCGAGGAAGGCTTCTCCCAGCACAAAGATCCTTCCTTAGGAATCAATAGCTCAGGGCCCTTCATCACATTCAGAATTATCCTGGGACCTGTAAAATTTATTTTCCCCAAGTATGGCAGAACCCCCAAATGAAAACCCTAGGGTGGGGGAGGGGAGAAGGCAAGGAGGGAGCCCCGCTTAGGAGGCCTTGTCCATCAGTCCAGATGTTGCTTTGAGCAGGGACCGATGTGCAAATCTGGACACTCAGCCTCGCTTGCTTGGAAAAGGAAGACTCAGTGTGGTTCCCAGTGATCCTGCAATAATAACTTCTTCCAGCTGAATACCTCCTTACATCTTGCTAAGGGCAGAGGCATGTTAAAGACTGTCTTCCTTCATCTTCACTATCCTACCCTTATCACAGGGTTGTCAGCTTCACCGTTTTGCAAAGGAGGAAACTGAGGCATGCAGAGGTTAAGCGGTTTGCCAAAGGTCTCTAAGCCAGTGAGTGGGGGAGCCAGATTCTAAGCCTGTGTCCTTCCTACTACACTGGGCTGCCTTCCCAACGAGAGTAGGGGAAGTAAGAGTCAGCCACCTAGTGGGGCTCATGAAAAGGGTGACTTCTTGTTTTCTCAGGGTCTAATGCCACTTCTCAAACTCTGTGTCCTCTTCTCATTCAACAAAACACCAGAGAGCTTGTACTCTAGCCATCTTTCATGTAATTACATTCTTTTCCTTATCCAGACCCGAACAAGCCCTGGGAATGCAGGCACATTTCTTCAGCTAGAGCCAGGAGCTGGCGCAGACCCCAAGCGCACGCTCCCAGAACCCCACTTCCTAAAGGAGGGGGCTGTTGCTCTCTGGTGGTCCACGTAATCTTACTGCCTTCCTCCTCCCCCTGAAGGCTAAGACCCAACTTGCCTGTGAGCCTGAAGGAGAAGAGGAAACTCAAGCATCTTCCCCAGCAACAAGCATCCTTTGGGTGAGCTTTAGGGACAGAAGAGGATCTGGCTCTCAGAATTCTGGCTTGGCGGCACTCGTTTCTCCTGAGGGTCGCCACTGAGTCGGCCGGGCTCCGAGGGGACCCCAGAGGAGCTCTATGCCGTGTGCAAAAGAACAGAGTGGGGAGAGGAAATGGAAGGGTGGTCCACAGGCCACTCAGCAAGCCTCCTGCCCAGGGCCCAGCTCAGATGTCGACAGTCACACTCACAGACCAGAAAAAGGGCAGGGGAAATGGCAGTATCTTCCAGGTCACCCAAGAAGCCCTAATACAAGGATTCTGCAAAAACAAAACGTCCTAGCACTCTACCCTTGAGCTGGGAGCAGCAAAGATGGGGAAATGGGCAAATAATGGTTGGGAACTTTCCACTTCATCCAGGATCTGAGTACTGGGGGTGCCAGAGGCAGCAGAGGGATGCAGGACTGGGAGAGCCTACGCTGGCATGCCCTCGTGAGAGAAAGGAAGCACTCTGGCCTGGCTTCCAAGACCACAGCGAGGGACTGTGCTCTTCTAATGCCTGCATGCATGGACTGAGAACCGGAGTTGCTTTCTTTCTGCCTAAAAGACTGCTTGGAATAACGAGATAAGATAGTGGACGGAAGGGAAAAAGCAATTCAGAATTTCTATTACCTGTATATGTACATTACAAGAACTTTACCGGCTCCTCGCTCTGAATAATTGATTCCAAGAAAATTTCCCCAAATTTACTAAATTTATTAATTTGCCAATGTCAGCAATTATGAGTACATAGTGTGCTGAGAACACACGTCCATCTTCATGGTAAAGAAGAAGCAGGTCACAGGATTGGAAAGAGCTCTGTGTAGGGAGCTGGAAATCCTGAGACCTAGTCCAATGTTTTCCACCAAATAGCCGTGTGACCTTGGGCCACACACTGGTCCTGACTGGGCTTCAGCTTTCTCATCTGCAAATTAGGTATGCATGTGAGTGTTGGGGAAGGGATGAGGTTGGACTAGATGCTCTTCGAGGATCCTCCCTTCTAGGATCCTCCCTTCTAGCCCTAATGTTCTTGGACTCCGTGGGCTCATAACGAGTTCAAAGGACCCACCAGAACCAAGCGCAAAGGAATGGTCTCAGAGAGCAGGTGGGACTGAGCACCAGCTCACCTGCCCCATTGCACCTGAGATCACAAGGAACAACTGACATCCAGGAAGCCCGTGGTAGCAGGGCTCCCGTCATGAAGGTGAGGGTCGGGGGCTGTGGCCTGGGCTTGCCCAAAGTGTTTAGTTACCATGGTCAGTGAAGGGCAAGAAGTGGGAAAGTCAGTGGTCTCCAGCTGGGTGCCTTTGGCGCCCCCTACTGGACACCAACGAGTCTGCTCCACCTTTAACCTTGATCACCTCGCCAGGCAGCCAGAAGATTGAGAACAGGAGACTGTCATAAGCACTTTCATAGTACTGCCTTTGTGGTCCGTGGTCCTCTCTCCACAACCATCTAGGTTTGACTCCCTAGAATGATACAGGCATTTGGTCTACACATTCACAGGGGCATACCTGTGCAGCGAAAGGACGCCTTAAGCAAACACCAAGGTGCCAAATAATAAACATCAGGGTTTAGAACGCCAGGTGCAACCTGGCGTTGGAGAGAAGGGAAGAAAGATGGGAAGAAGGGAAGAAAGATGGGAAGAAGGGAAGAAGATGGAAAGAAGGGAAGAAAGAGCAACAAGCAGGTATCTCCCTGCACAAATCCCCAGTGGAGAGAAGGTGTTGGGAAATGGAGCAGAAAAATTTTGACCGCAGGTGGAGGATGGAGCTGGTTGGGGGTATGGATTGATAACCCCCACAGGAGATCTCCAGGCTGAAGGAGCTCCCCTAGGAATCCAAAACACCCACCGTGTTCAGGAATGGGGTACTGGTGGAAGATACACCCCGACTGAGCAGCATGTCTTTGACCTTCTCCAGAGTCCATTAGTGCCAACTACAAGTCAGAATATTCTACTTGTGGTCCACTGTGGCAGCACCAAGACCCTAAACTCCCTTCATTGCTTCTTAAATTGACTTTAGGACCTGCTGCCAGAATGATGTTCTTCAGTCAGAGGGAGAGAAAATGCTTCCTCAAGAGGTTTCTTGGAAGAACCGCCATGTTCCCACTTTTCCATCCTCCATCTCCCCTTCCTCACGGCTGAAGTGAGGTACAGCATTACTCTGAATTTGCTCTGATTCAGCCTTGGGTATCCCCAGCCCCAAGTCATCAGGGTAAAAAAAATCTCCCATCAGGAGCGATTCTCTTCCCCCCTGATTCTCGCCTGATTCTCAACAGCACTACAGAGCTGTCCCCTATTCTTGGAACATTTTTGCCTTCTTTTCCACCTGGCTTCACTTGGGAAGTCCTGCACCCATCCCAGAAGACATCTCAAGTGTGACTCAAGAATGTGTCCTGCCTGGAGAGCTGAAGCTCCTCCTGGGATGCACAGAAGCCACACTAGGTGCCCACCCCACGACCACCGCCAGCAATATTCATTAGTCATTCCCGGAGGAAGGGGAGTGAGTGCCCCCCTCCCAACATCAGGAGCATTCCGCGACCACTCTGGGAGGCTCCCATCCAGGCTGGGATGACTTTGGATTCTTGAGTTGGTTTCTGCAGAAACGGGACTAACCAGGGCTCCCAACTACTGTACTGCGAAGAGGCGCGCTGCAATGTTGGGCATGCCCCCAAGCCTGGCCTGCTGCCCCATCCAAGCCTCCAGGTGCCCCCATGGGCGGAGAAGGATCCCCGGCTCCCCCGGAATGCCTGAAGCTGGTTTGCCCGAGACAGGCTGCGAGCGAGGAGACCACACCTCGGTCCAGCAAAGGCAGCTGGCAGCTACGCCGCTCGCGGGGCTAGCTCCCGGAGCTCTCTGCCCACCGAGGGCTGTGCCAGGACCTCGGCTTCCCCGGGGAAGAAGCTCCAGCTCTCCGGGGCTCTTCCCCATTCTGGCAGCATAGTCACCGGGTCGAGGCCAGTAGCTTCCCCGGCCCGAGGCTGAGCCCCGCTGGGGGGCTGCAAGATACCCTCGGCACATCCCTTCTCACCTGCTCCGCCCCCCTCGCCGCCCCAGTGACCCCTCCCCAAACGGCTGACCTCCAGCGCGCCCCAGCACCTTCCCCGCCAGCGGAGTGGGCTGTGATCCGCACACCCCCGCTCCCACCTCTCCTCCACCTCCAGCCCCGCGCCCGCCTCGCCCCCAGCCCGCGGGGGAGGCTCGGCGCACCGGTCGGGTCCTGCGCTTCTCGGTAAGTTGGCAGCACAGACGCCGCCACCGCCTGCGGTGGCGGCGTCCGCCTTCCCGGTTCCCGGGCGGCGTCGCCGCCACCCCTGCGGGCGGGTCGGGAGGGGCGCGCAGGGCGGGAGAAACTTTCTCCGCCTGAGGGAGTGGGTGCCCGGGAGCGGGTACTCACGCCGAGGTCAGCGCTCGGAGCCATCTTCGGGCTCTCTCAGCCCCACCGCCTGGGGGCGCCGGAGCGCGGGCGCTCGCTGCCGCCGCCGCCGCCGCCGCAGCCGCCTTCCAGCTCCCAGCCCCGGTCCCGGGCTGGCCTCGAGCCTCCCGCCCCGCCACAGCTCGCTCGTTTTATACAACTCCACTCGAGCGCGCCCGGGCTTATGTAAAGGCTGGCGGAGACCCGCAGCCAATGGCATGGCGGCTGGAGCGGGGGGGCCCGGGACGGGGGGGGCGCCCGCACGGCCAATCGCGGCGCGGGGAGCCCGGGCAGCCGGTGGGGGAGGGGACGCCTCCCCGCGCTGATTTAGGAGCGGGGATTGCGGTGGCAGCAGCCGGCAGCCTGGCCGGCGCGGCGCGGCGCCGCGGGCGCTGGGGTGGGTGGGCGGCGGCGAGGGTGGGCGGCGGCGAGGGCGGGCGCCCCCCGCACCTCGCTTCGGCGTCGCGTAACCTTCAGGAGGCAGCGGCTCCTGGCGAGGAGGGGCGAGGCGAGGGCGCCTGGCCGGGCGCTGGGGGCCCCGGGTCGGCGGGAAGCGGGGGTCCCTCGGGAGGAAGCGCCGAGAAGGAAGGCCGGGGGGTTGGGGAGGGAGGCGAGACCCGGGGACCCGCGGCCACCCCAGCGCGCGGGGCCGAGGGTGGTGGCGCAGCCTTGCCTTTCCCCCCGCCGATAGCGATCTGGCGTCGCCGGGCCGGGCGGAGCGGCCGCGCGAGGCGCGCTGATGGCGAGATTTCGCGCTGCGGAGCGAGCGCAGACCCGATCTTTATCCGGCCTGGGAACGTGTCCGAGCGCCTCCCGGGGACTGCTCAGTATGGAGAGCTGAGCTTCGCGACGGCCCCAGAGGGCGGGGAGCGGGCGAGCACAGCTCGGAGAGCAAGCGCGGCGACGGAGGCGGCGGCGGGCCGCGTCCCCTCCTCCTCTCTGCTCCCCGCCCGCCGCCGCCAGTGCCCCCACCCCACCCCGCGGTGCTCCCGCCCCAGCAGCGCGGGGGCTGAGCTTAATCCGGGGTCTCCCAGCAGGCCCACCGGCTCTGGTCTTTCCAGCCTCCCTTACCGCTCTGCTCACGGGTACTGCTAACCTCCTGCTCGACCCCCCTAGCCCGCCGCAGTGCCCGGGATGGTCTCGGCATCCCCGGACCAGGGGCCACGCGGGCCAAGCTTGGGAAGAACGCGCTAGGTCAGCAGTGCCCAAAATACCCGTGTGCTGGGCAGGAAACGGACCTAGATCGATAACACTCTGAAGACAAGTCCTTTGTTTTGCGCCTAGAATAGAGCTTGGCACAGAGTAGGCGCTCAGTGAGGATTTACTAAATGAATTGTGAGCTTTCTTGAGTAAAGTCTTTGGGTTTCGGAAAGCTGGGGCACGCAAGGGGCCCTGGAAGAGAAAGACCTGGGGATACGCCATCGGAAAGGGAGCGAGCTGGGACTTTTCCCATCTCTCGATGCCTTTATGACTGTCTCTTTGTTTCTGGGGACTTAACTCTTAAAAAGGATTCTAGTGGTTTTGTTGTTGTTATTGTTGTTGTTTTTAAAATGGAGGCCCCCTACCAACTAGCCCTGGCCCCAGTTATCCCCAGATTTTGTGTAGAACTACCAAGCCTACTTTGGCCTGTTCTCAGGTCTCTGTGATCGTTCTCTAGAAAAAAATAGCTAAACATAGGCAATATTTTTAACTTTGGGGCCTTGGAACTAGCTTAGGATCTTAATCCTTTGAGGGTTGTGGACCCTTTTGAGAATGTGGCAAAAACTATTGAATCCTTCCTCTAGGAAGATATACAAACACATGTACCCCCCCCCCCCCCCCCACATACAAGCACATCTCCGAGAATCACCTCACGGTCATTAGGGATCTCAGGTCTTTCCTGGGGTTGTGCCGAACGTCAGCCTGTTTCTCTAGGGGGCCTAGGGTGGTGGCTTATAATCATTTCCCTTTGGGGGATCAAAAGAACCCTTTAAAAACTTTCAAGATTCTGATTAATGTTATGGGCTTGTTTCTTAGAAAAATGCTCGTGGTGTATACATGTTGCCATGCAAAGTTAGGGGGTTCAAGGATCCTTAAAACTTCATCTAAGACCCAAATTAAGAACCTTCACTTAGCAGCAGATAGTTTGCCCTAAGGACACTCCTGATTCCCAGCTCTTTCCATAGGAAGTCCAGTCTGCCCTGCACCCTGCGACATCATTGCCCCCACCGCGTTCAGAGTCATATGGTGACGGCCTTGGTACCTAAGGGGCCACCTCCACACTTGTTTCTGGATCTTGGTCCCCACCATCCTCTTCGCGTGGAGATAAGTTGCAGGTTGTCATGTTCTGTCTGATCAACGAGCATCCCTTAGCCAGAAACTCCAGCTCAGGGAGATACCAAGTGACTGGTAATAACCGGTTTCACTCAATCCCAAGCACCTGAGCACACCTTTCTTGGTTTTTGTTCTCACCTCTCTCTGTCGGCGAAGCTGTGACCAGCAGCCCCAGCTGTGGAGGCTCACCTCACCTAAACCCGACAGATTTAGTAACCAGTGCAGTAATTATCAGCATTAGCCATCCAGATGTGACTAGGCTGTCTGCACGAAACAGCTCTGTAATGATGTCACACTTTCCTGCAGCTAGCCAAGGAAGGGTGCAACAGACCAGAGGTGCTGGGGAAGGACAGAGAAATGCAGGAAATGATGGAGACGTTCTTTCCAGCAAGTTCTCCATCGAATGCAATCTGGTTTCTGCACTTGAACTTGTGAGGGCTGAGCCAGCAGACCAGGCAGACCAGGTACTATAATTTCGAATTCCTCTAATGTCCTCCATGCCCCTCGCTCAGTTCATGGCTGTGTCCGTGGAGAATCCAGCCCTGTCCTGCCTGTCTCACTGTAGACATCTTGCCCTCACAAACTGCCCAGACACACCTTGCTTTCCTGGGACACAGGTACACTGTTAGGGACTGAATTTGCCCCTCCCCCAACCCCAATTCATATGTTGAAGCCTTGACTTCCAATGTGACTGTATTTGGAGATAGAACCTTTAAGGAGGTAATTAAGGCTAAATGAGGTCACAGGGTAGAACCCTAATCCTTGGGATTGGTGTCCTTATAAGAAAATAAAGAAACACCGGAGGCTTCCCTCTGCACGTGGACCGAAGAAAGGTCGTGTGAGGACACAGACAGAAGTAGCCATCTGTGAGCCAAGGAGAAAGGCCTCTGAGGAGACCAAACCTGCTGGCGCTTTGATCTGGGACTTCCGGCCTCCAGGTGTGAGAAAATGAATTTCTGTTGTCTAAGCCACTCTGTGTGGCATTTCGTTATGACCACACAAGCAGACTAAGACACATACATTTTCTTTCAACACACTCCTTACCGCTAGCCAGCCTGTTCAGCCCCCTCCCAATACTCTGAGTCCAGTCTTCTCCATTCTAGTCTCTCCATATCATCCTTCCACAAACCTTGTTCAGTCTTATCTGGGACACTTGCCTAAGATGTTTTCTCATCTTCTGACACCCAAACTAAGTGTCACCTCCCACACCACCTTCCCAAACTGCTCTGGCCAGTGAGCTTTGCCTCTTCTGCTCTGGTGCTGGTCGTCAACGTCTTAGTACTCTATTATGCATGCTGCCCAGTTTTCTAATTTTTTCTTATGCATAAAACTTGGTCATCCTATCGGAATGGAAGCCCCTTTAAGTCCCGAGTTTGCACCTTACGCTTGACCACATCACAGATGCTGGCATGACACTGGGCACGGCGTGAACACACAGTGTTTTCTGATTAATTTATTCTACACTTACTTTAAAAAACACACTTACTTTAAAAAAAATACCAGAAAGGTTATGTGGCGCTTCATTTTCTAGAAGCTCAAGACATTTCCTGTGTCTCGTTTCAGTTACCTGAAAGCTTATTGGCAGGGGGGCTCTTGGGAACCAGGTAACCTCTATAGTTCAGCCTCCGATGGGTTACACAAGTCACTTGGAATCATACCAAGTCAGCCCTTCTTTCTCCAGCTCAGCATATTTCTATCCTTGCTTTCCTTGTCACCCTCACTGACCCACCTAGATGAGATGGAAAGAAAGGGCCAGGGAATCTCAGATCTTCAAGTCGCTTCTGTTCGAACAGATCTGTTGCAAAAGAACAGAGAGATTACTCCAGTTGTTCAAGTCCTTATCTCAAGCCCTTGAGGCCAAAGGGGTTTTAAAATTCAGAAAGGTCCCACACACTCTGAGACGTCCCCAGGGAGGTCTTGGACAGCATCTCTTAACGGGACCCGCCAGTATTTCTACAGCAAAAATATGAATGTTCTCACGAAGGAGGTGGGAGGATAAAGTAGCTTCACACCAATTAGGCCAGGTTTTGTCACCAGATGACTTTTGGCACCAAACCCGCAAACAACACAAAACAAAAATGCGTCTCTTGACTTTCAGGGATTGGAGACCTTGGAATTGCAGATGAGGGACCGTGGAATTAGGCTGGGCCTTCCCCAAAGAAATGGATGTTTGCGTGAAGGGGTGGGAAAGCAGCGGTAGTAACAAAGGAGAAACCATAACCTGTGCAAGAAGTGAGGAGTGTGAGGGAGAGTGAGGAGAGAGCCCCTTCTCAAGCCAACCTGGACGGTGCTGTGTCCCTTTCTTCTAAGGAACACGTATTTATCAGATGGCTGGTGAGTTCCAGATGCACAGGTGTTAACGGTGGCTTAAAAGTGACAAATGCACAAAAGGGACCCAGGAGGGGCGGCAAGTAGGGGTGGAGGTGCAGAAGCTCTTGTAGAAAGTCACAAACCACGGTGGGCTTCCAGCTGGCCAGAGAGAGCTAATTTAGAACAGTGTAGAGTGGGAGTGCCTGCTACAGGAAACTTCTCCAGGCAGAGAGAGGGCAGACCTGGGAAAGGGGGACTAGAAAAAGGAGAACATTATGGAATCCTAAAAAAGGTGGTTGGAAAGGTCAGGGCCTTTTTAGGCTGGGATTGACATCGTAGCAGACAATCGACAATCGTGTGATTCTGTACCTAGGTGGCTTGGGTGCTTTGAAGTTTTCCCACACTATAGTGGGGTGGCTTTTCAATCTGAGGGCCCAGCTGAGAGTATGACACTGGGACAAAGCAAGGCCACGGTGAACCCCTGAGTGTACAGCTCTCTATCCCTGC